GCCCCGCCCTGCAGGCGGCCTCCTCCTCCCCGAGGGCACTTACCCAGCAGCCGGGAAGTGAAGGAAACAAACTTGGTTCTCCGGTTGGGGGCCAGTGAGGTCATCCAACGCTTCATCTCACTCCTGGGACATGGAGGAGGACACTGCCAAAACCACAGAGCGACACCCCCCCCCACCCCGGCGTGGTGCCAGGCATCCCACAAGGCCACAGCAGGACAGCTGGGGGGTGCCCAGAATCCAAGGGAGAGGCATGGGGAGCCCTACAGAATCTCCTTGACACGCGTGAAGGTCCGCTGGTGAGGGAGAGCCCCCCCCCCCACCCCAAACAGCCCTGAAGCCACAGGCTCTCAGACATGGAACCGGGGAAGGCTGTTGTTGTCCCCATCTGGGTGGTAGGAACTGGACCTAGATGGGGGGCGTGACCTGTGAGCTCCGTGGGGACAAGTGCAGGACACCACACGGGGCTCCAGCACCTCTGTCCACGCTGACCTCGGCTGTCCCTCCCAGAGCCCTGGGGCTGCAGGGCAGGTGGCCTGGCTGCTCAGAGGGGTGATAAGATGGCCCTGGGACCACCCCGTGGTGTGGGGCACTGGTCAGCGTGGCCCCAAGGGCTCTACATCTCATCAGGAAAGAGAGGTCCTTCCAGAGCCTGAGACCCAGATAGGACACACGCAGACACACCCCCCCCAGTTGATGGCAGCCCCTGGAGGCCGGTGGGCCACCCGGTGTGTGCTGAGCCCCGGAGCCTTGCTCCACCTGGGAAGGAGACTCGGAGGCGCCTCGGGCGTCAGGGGCAGGGCCGGCGGCGCGGGGCACTCACTGAGAGGACGCTTTCAGCATGTAGGTGGCCTCCCGGTCGTCCGCGTTCTCCAGCAGCCGCAGGATGAACACGTTCGCCAGCGTCTGGCCCTGGTCCTCCAGTTCCTCCACGCGGAGGAGGCCCCGCGGGGCCGAGTCAAACACTTGGTACTTGTCTCTGCGGGGACCCAGGATGGCAGGGTGAGTGTGTTGGTCCCAAGGAGGCCCCAGGGTCCCAGGGAACCCGCCACCCCCAGTCCTGCTGGCCCTCCTGTTCTGGCCACTCCTCACCTCCTCCTGGAAGCCCCCCACCTGAACACCGGTCCCCCTGGCCTCCCAGACTGCCACCTCCCACGGTGACCGAGGGGCTAGCACTGACGCAGCCGCCAGGGCAGGGGCCCCCCCTGCGCACCCGGGGATCTGCCGGCAGATCACCAGCAGGTCGTTGAAGAGGAAGAGGTAAATTTCCCGGAAGAGTTTCTTGGTCCGCAGGGTTCGGGATGTCTTGGGGCCGGACATCTGCTGCAGCTCACCCTGCTTCAGCAGCCAGCGGGAGTGGGAGATGATCGGCACCGACTGGCCGGGCGGGGGGGGGCGGGGGTACGGCGTCAGGTCGGGCTGTGTCCCTCCAGGCCCCACCTCCCTCCCCAGGCTCCCCTGGCCTCACTGGCGCGCTAACCGGAGGAACGGCATGGGGGCCCCCCCCCCCCCCCCCCCGCACTGCGGGTGCGGTGGGGGGGATGGAGCGGTGCCGGGCAAGCGCGGAAGGGCGCGCCGCGTGCATGAGGGTGCACACTCCCACGTGCGCGTGCCTGGGTGTGGCCGTGCATTTGTCTGTTGTGTGTGCTTGCGTCTAAGTGTGTCTGTGTGGACTCGTGTCTCTACACGGGGGTGTGTGTGGGGGGGGCCAAGTTCACAGGGGAGAGGGGAGAACCGGGTGCCGTGGGACAAGCAGGCCAGTCTGCAGGCGCCCGCTGCGTGGCTCCGGGGGAGGCTCCTGGCACCCAGTGGTCGGCGCGGCAGGTGGAGACACGGGGGGGAGCCCAGAAGGCCACAGCTGGGGCTCAGGGACCCTCAGTGGGCACGGTGTGCTCATGCGCTCACGTCACCAGAACCCAGGCCCCAGGGACCCTTGGGGCTCACTGATGCCTGAAGCTTGACATAAAGTCGGGGGAGGTCGGTCACTGCTTCAGATTTTCAGTCCACCCGCCCGCCCCCCATGTAAGAATCCCTGGAATGGTCCTTGTCACGTGCTTCATGTCAACTAAGTGCTCAAGGTCACACAGCCAAGAAATGAGAGCAGGCAGCTCCGGGGTCCTTGCACACTCAGAAGATAAGCGCAGGCCACTGCGATGGAGTGGTCACAGCGGCGGGGGCAGGGGGGGCAGGCAGGGGCAGCGAGGGGTGCCAAGAGAGGTGTCAACGAAGGTGCCACTGGAACCCGACCAGGGACAGATGCCCCCGGCCAGCCCAGCTGGGCTGGGGACACACGGACGGGCGCAGGTTCACCTTGATCTTAAACTCCATCTTCTTCTGAATGCTGATCATCTGCTCCGTGCGGCTCATCTTCCTGACACCCTCGTTGCACGCTTTTACCACCTGGCATGAGAGGGGGGACACGTGAGGCCAGGGGCACCCAGCTGTTCCTGGCCACTGCCTCTGTCCACGCAGGCCCCAGAGTGCGCGGACACTGCAGCGAGACTGGCCGGCCCGCTCCTCACCACGGCTCTCCGTTCTGGGGGAGAGCATTAAAAATTGCAATAATTTTACATGCACTAAAGTGGAGTGCAAAGCCAGCCTGGAAACCACAATCGCTTTTTGCAGAGATTACAGTTGTATGAGCAGGTCTGCAAGGGCAGCACCCAGATGCCACCAGCGAGGTGTGCAAAAACGGGCCGTCTTTACCCTCTGCCTTTTACTTCTGGGCACCTGCTCAATTTTTTTTTTGTATTGAACATCAATTACTTTTATAAACTAAAAAAATCCACTTTTATTTTTTACTTATTTTTTTATGGATTTTATTAAGTAATCTCTACACCCAAGAAGGGGCTCGAACCCAGAACCCCGAGATCAAGAATCACATGCTCTATCGACTGAGCTGGCCAGGTGCCCCTAAAAATCCACCTTTGTTACGAATATGGTAAGCTATGAGAAGCACAAGTGGAGCTTTTGTTAGACAAGAAAGAAAGGGAGGTGACAGCAGAGAAGAATTTAAGAAACAGAGAGCCTGGCCCCCGGCACACGGGCCTCTCGTGGGTGGAGACGGTCACTGGACTCACCCTCTGGGGCCCCGTGGGGGTCGGGATGAACCCCCGCCTGATCAGGTGGCCAACTGGTAAGGGACAGGAGGAGGGGCCGGCCGGGGAGACAACTGTGAGAAGGAGCCCTCGTGGCTCCAAGTGGCTTAGAACTGCCATCCGATGGCTGCTGAGGCCAGTCCTTTCACTGAGCTGCTGCCTCCGGTACAAGAAGTGGAAAGGGCCCCCCAACCCCAGGCTCTCGCCCATCACAGTCATGGGCACGACAGAGCAGCCCCCGCCCCTCTGCCAAGAGCTGGCTTGCAGCGAGGACGGACATACCTGCTGACACCCCCCCCCC